TGTTAGAATGGGCACAAGAGAACAATTTAGGCTATTATGGTAACCTAAGTAGGAGAGCATGGTGATGTCTTGGGCTAGTGTTTTGGTGGTGGAAATGGAGGAGAAGGTAAAATTGGTAGGTCTTGACAATGGATTGGATATGAGAGAGGAGAGGAAGAAGTCGGATGACCTCCATTCCAGGTTTCTTGATTGTACAACTGAATTGATGTCAGATACATTTTCCCAATGCATTTGAAAAACAACGTGCGCATTTTCAAGTTTGATATACAGTAGAATTGCCCCGATTGTGAAAATTCAGCAAATATATTGAACTTTTCCAGTCAACTTTTGGTCAAGATAGAAATGCACATACTTTTTTTTTAGTCTTTACTGTTTTACCTACTAAGGAGTAACCTATGTCTTTGTTTCAGGCTTGCTAATTGTAATAACTGACTGGAGTCCTAGGATTTTTTTAATGCTTTTATTGAAGTATGATTCACATACCATACAATTCATCTATTTGAAGTTTACTATTCAGTGGCTCTTAATATATTCACAGAATTGTGCATCCATCACCATCAATTTTAGAAAATTTTCATTACCCCAAAAAGAAACCCTGTACTGCTTAGCCATTATTCAATCTCCCCATGTACCCCAGCCTTAGGCAACCACTAATTTACTTTCTGTCTATATAGGTTTGCCTATTTTGGACATTGCATATAAATAGAATCATACAATATATGGTCTTTTGTGACTGACTTCTTTTACTTAGCATAATGTGTTCAAGGTTCATCCATGTCATAGCATGTTTCATTTCCTCATTTCTTTTTATTGCTGAGTAATTGTCCATTGTATGCATATAACACGTTTTATTTATCTGTTTCATCAGTTGATGGACATTTGGGTTGTTTCCACTTTTTGGCTATTATGAATAATGCTGCTGTGAATATTTGTGTATAAGTTTTTTTTGTGTGTGTGTGTATGTAAGTTTTTTATGTGGACATATATTTTCAGTTCTCTTGGGGATATTCCCAGCAGTGGAATTGCTGGGTCATGTGACAACTCTGTTTAACCATTTGAGGAACTGCCAGACTGTTTTCCAGAGTGGTATACCATTTTACATTCTTACCAGCAGTGTACAAAGGTTCCAGTTTTTCTACATCCTCACCAATACTTACTTATTTTCTGTCATCCTCGGGTGTGAAGTGGTTTCTCATTGTGATTTTGAATTGCGTTTCCCAACAGTGTTTCTATTGGACTAAAATGATAATGAGATAGAAGCAGGGCAATTTACTGGCTGGCATAGAATTTAAGAGAGTAGAGATGAATTGGCATATACAAGTAATTATTTTAAGCATTTTCTAAGGCTTTGCATTGTCTTTCTGGTTCTCATTTAGCAGTTAACAGTTAAAACATTTTATTTTGTACCTTAGGTTCAAAACAGTTTTCAGGTTACACAAAAATAATTTTCACAAATACCCTAAATATTTTTGTGATAGTTTTTCTTTCTCTTTAAAATACAGTCTTCATCCCTTTTGGCTCCTAAGCAGCGTAGTTGAGAATGTCTGACTGATTTTGGACAAATTCAAAATTGAACAATCCAAGGACCATCTTGTACCAGACACTGTGTTTACTGTGTTTACATGGGGGCTACCTTCACAAAGGCTTCTAGCCTTGTGGGGGAGACAGATACACATATTTATTTACATATAAGGAAGAATGTGGCAAGTGTAGCAGTTGGTGAGTATAAACAGAGTATGTTAATACCAGAGTGGAGAGAAATTAATTCCCGTTTTAAGCAGAGGCAGTAATTTGAAGGCTAGGTAGAATTTTGGCAGGTAGAAAAATAGCAGAAAAGAAGAAAATTTTAGATAGAAGGAACTATGTGAGCAAAGTCATGGAAGCAGGAATTATAGTTTGGAATGAGAAGTAGTCTGTATGGTTATAGTTTAGGGTATATTGGGACGAGAGGGCTCATGGGGGATCCAGCTGAAGATAGACTGGATGCATATGACATGTAAAGGACTTTGGATTTTGTCCTGTAGTCAGTGGGATACTTTAGAAAGTTATCTGCTAGTGTACAGTTCGTGATAAAATCTGCGCTGTAAGATTTATAGTGATGGTGAAGAACAAATTAGAGACATATTGGAGGTAAGGGAGGCATTTGCAATAGCAAGAGTGAGAACAGACTTATCAACTTAAATTGGCTTAAAAATAGGGGTTTATTATTTCACATAAAAGAAATCTGGAAGTTAAAGAGTTGGTTAAAAAGCTGCCCAACTATATCAGGGCTCTGGGGTGGCATTTCTGCATTTCTCTTGGTTTAATCTTTATGGTCACAAAATGGTCTTATTCATTCACAAACAGGAAGAAAAAGGGTGGGTTCTCTTATTGTTTTTTGTTGTTGTTAGAGAAGAAAACTGACCAGGCACTCCTAGCTTCACCGATCAGGATTGGATCTCATGACTGTGACTTAGCTGCAAAGGAGACTGGGAAAGTGGGGAGTCTGATATTTTCCACCGTTACAGTGGGAGGTGAGCTCTGCCTATGAAAACAGCAGGTGGGAGTAGGAGTTCTCAGGGGTTAGCAATGAGTAGTGTTTGGAGATGCTAATATCCTCCATTTAGTAGTAAAAAGGCAAAGGAACAGACAGATTTAAGAGACAGATTAGAAGGGAAGGAAGAATTAAAGATTGGCTGTAGGTTTGGTGGTGAATGAAGAGATTGAAATGCCATTTACCAAAATGTATTTCCCTATCTAAAATTGAGTTGACTCCTTTATCTATTAATACCTAGGCCTAGTATCCTGATATCTTACCTTCTAATCACCAACCTAATGGGCTGGGGAGGAGTAGTTCGGTGTTTTTTTTTTCTTTTTTAACATCTTTTTTGGAGTATAATTGCTTTACAATGATGTGTCAGTTTCTGCTTTATAACAAAGTGAATCAGTTATACATATACATATGTTCCCATATCTCTTACCTCTTGCGTCTCCCTCCCTCCCACCCTCCCTATCCCACCCCTCTAGGTGGTCACAAAGCACCGAGCTGATCTCCCTGTGCTATGCGGCTGCTTCCCACTAGCTATCTATTTTATGTTTGGTAGTGTAGATATGTCCATGCCACTCTCTCACTTTGTCACAGCTTACCCTTCCCCCTCCCCATGTCCTCAAGTCCATTCTCTAGTAGGTCTGTGTCTTTATTCCCATCTTACCCCTAGGTTCTTCATGACATTTTTTTTTTCTTAGATTCCATATATATGTGTTAGCATATGGTATTTGTGTTTCTCTTTCTGACTTACTTCACTCTGTATGACAGACTCTAGGTCCATCCACCTCACTACAAATAACTCAATTTCGTTTCTTTTTATGGCTGAGTAATATTCCATTGTATATATGTGCCACATCTTCTTTATCCATTCATCTGATGATGGACACTTAGGTTGCTTCCATGTCCTGGCTATTGTAAATAGAGCTTGCTATGAACATTTTGGTACATGACTCTTTTTGAATTATGGTTTTCTCCGGGTATATGCCCAATAGTGGGATTGCTGGAAAAAAATCTAGAAACAATAAATGCTTGAGAGGGTGTGGAGAAAAGGGAACACTCTTGCACTGCTGGTGGGAATGTGAATTGGTACAGCCACTATGGAGAACAGTATGGAGGTTCCTGAAAAAACTACAAATAGAACTACCATATGACCCAGTTCAGTGGTTTTTAAGGGCTACTCCTTGGACCAGTGCCAGCTTGCTGCATAAGAATCACCTGGGGAGCTTGTTAAATAAATCAGAATCTCTGAGAATTTGATTATTTTAGGTCTGGGATTTGACCATCAATTTTGTTGACAAGCTCCCCAGGTAATTCTGATGCACAGCTAGGTTTAGGTATATTTGGTAGGAAAAATGTGGACTTTGGTTTTAGGCAAACCTGAATTTAAATCCCAACTCTTCGCTTACTAACTGTGTGAACTTGGGCAAGGCACTTGACCTCACAGAGCTCAGGTCCCTCATCTGTGAAATGTGTAACAACAACAATAATAGCTACTTTACATAGCTTTTGTGAAATATACGGTATATATGTAATGTGTCTAGCATAAATGCTGGCATATAGTAAGGATTCAGTAACTGGCTATTTTTATATGTCTTAGCCTGTAGTAAGTACTGGGTATTTGATTTAGCAAAGAAACAAATTTCTGTAAAGCTACAACAAAAAGAAAATAAGAAGCAAATATAATAAATTGCTTTTCTTGTTGCTTAGTATCCATTGTAATCAATAGCTGATTTTTTTGGCCCAGCCAAACATCTTCTAAGCTTGAGCATATAAACTTTGTTTATTTTCTTAACTGCATTTTTGGCTGTGTCTGTTCTGTGTAATCTATATAAGTATATAATTTGAAAATCAGCGAGTATACCAAAATCTCTAATCCAATTTCTGTGAAATACATTACTTAATATTTAGTAGAGCCTGTTTTTCACAGTAATCTCATATAAAACCTTAAACTAGGCAGGATTCTTTCTCTTATAAAACAAAAAGCAGACAATTCGGATAAAAGCAGTAAGTGCACATTAAGGATCATTTTGTTACTCTCAAAGCTTGTTGCCTGGGTTAATAATTAGAATGTTATTGTGGATGATTGTCTTGTGTGATAAATTACTACTCACTGAGAATGAATGCTCATTTTTCCTGTTTCAGTGCATAAAGAGGTCTTGGTGAAAGGGAGAAAAGACACTAACATTGGGTATTTACTTTGTGCTAGGAAGTTGACTTAATATGTCTTGTAGGAGAGGGGCACCATGCTGTAGGGGTACCTGTGGACTCTGAAGGCATGCTGCCTGGGTTCCTATCCCAGCTCCTGCACTACAGCTGTGTGACTTTAGGTAAATTACTAATCTTTGCTGTGCCTTGACATTATAGTGTACACTTGCCTCATGAAGTAGTTGTGAGGATTACATAAGCTAACATACCTACAGTATTTAGGAAGTACGTGGCTTATAGTTCTATATAACTGTTAACTGTTCTTTAGGTTTCACAAATTCACACTGTTCTGCAGTCTCACAAAAGTCCTGTAAGGTATGTATCTTCTTAATCTTTATTTTGTAGGTAAGAAAACTGAGGTTTGGTGAGGTTAGTAACTTAGCTAAATTGCCCATCTATTTAGTGATGCAAATCCCAGATAGCTTTTTTGTGCATTCTACTATGCTTTTAATAAATTAGTTATTTTTAAAAAATCCTGAAAATAATAATTACTTATGTGAGTCATATGGTATTTAAACAAAAATATTTATTTTTCTGGCTGAGGCATGCGGGATCTTTAGTTGTGGCATGTGGGATCTAGTTCCCTGACTAGGGATTGAACCCAGGCCCCCTGCATTGGGAGCGTGGAGTCTTAGCCACTGGACCATCAGGGAAGTCCCCATATGGTATTAAGTAACATTGTTTTTCATTTATCAAAAAAACATTTTTGCTACTTGGGAATAGAATTAATAGATTAACCATTTTTGAACTTCAAGTTAGGTGTTAATAGTTTGTAAAACATTTTTCATTGATCCTCACTTAAAAATATTGCATCAGGCTTCCCTGGTGGCGCAGTGGTTGAGAGTCCGCCTGCTAATGCAGAGGATGGGGGTTCATGCCCCGGTCCGGGAAGATCCCACATGCTGTGGAGCGGCTGGGCCCGTGAGCCATGGCCACTGAGCCTGCGCGTCTGGAGCCTGTGCTCCGCAATGGGAGAGGCCACAACAGTGAGCGGCCCGCGTACCGCAAAAAAAAAAAAAATAATAATAAATTTGCATCAAGGGTTGTGGAGAAAAGGGAACCCTTGCACATTGTTGGTGGGAATGTAAATTAGTGCAGCCACTGTGGAAAACAGTATGAAGTTTCCTCAAAAAAACTAAAAATAGAACTATCATATGATCCAGCAATTTCACTGCTGGGTATATATTCCAAGAAAACAAAAACACTGATTTGAAAAAATGTGCACACCCCAGTGTTCATAGCAGCGTTATTTACAAAAGCCAAGATATGGAAGCGACCTAAGTATCCATTAATATCAATAGATGAATAGATAAAGAAGATATATATCCAATGGAATACTACTCAGCCACAAAAAAAAATAATGAAAAAAATATATACTGTAAGAAACACATAAAGTATACTGTATATTACAGTAGGTATTTAATTGTAATTAATTATATAAATATAACTTACTTGGGTTTAGGTAATACATCATTTTATACTTGATGATCATAATGGTACCTTGAGGGTTTTCCATAGTTTTTGAACTTTATTTTTATTTGTTGTGTAGTAATATAAATATTTGAATACAATTGTTTATTTCACTCATGATATGGATGCATCTGTGATTAACTGAATTATCTAAATCCTCAAGGTTCATACATTTTATGGAATATATAAACAGTTTAGCTTGCTAACAGATCACCACTGATGTATATAAATAGTATTAATTGACTTGAGACGTGTGTGTCTACTTCTCTGGTATCTTTTATAAGAATAATTCAGTGTACTGAGTAAGAAACTTAATGTCAAATATTAAAGTGAAAGATAAGGCCGTGTTTTTTTTTTTTTTAATTAATTGTGCAACAGAGGGTTGGGAGTGTGTAACTAGACTCTAAAGCCCATTTTGTGTTTGGAATTTTTCCTTACTTACTCTTCCTCCTCCTCCATAAGCACACAGACACACGCACCGCACTTACCAAGCACAATAAAATAACAGTACGGTTTTATAAGGTAATTTTCAGAAGGTAGAAGCCCCAAACTGCTTTTCCCCTCTATTTTCTGTATGGTTTTAGGTAGAAAGCATTATGCACAATGTGCTTTGAAATTTCCCATTAGAAGCAGTAGCAATTTTGTTTTGAATAGCTCTTAAGAAGCTGTTGGCTGTGTGTTTCCTTCTCAGCACCCTTTGGCCTACCTTTTAAATTTCTTTTGGTAAAGTGCAGCTTGCTGCCAGTAATTCGTTCTCTCACTTTGGGATGGAATGGAAGTTGCTGAATTTGTTGTGAGTTAGAAAGAGAACAGTTACCCAAATTTTACATTTAGTATATTCTTCCTTAGTTTCCTTTAGTTTGTAACATATTGGTGGCAAAACTGGTACACATCCTTTGAATTCCATGACCTGATTCTGTACAATGAGAAGTTATCCAGAGCTTTCTTACAGAACAGTCTGTCTTTTTTTCTTATTCTCCCCTTCCTCCCTAACTTGGCTCTCACCAATTCATTTTTCCTTTCTCAATTTTTTTTTCTCAGTAATTTATTTCCCCCATCACATCTCCTTGAGGAATAAGGAGGCCCCTAAATCCTCAGTAGGGCAGTGTTAGAAGGGTAGCTGAGAAGAGAGCAGAGGGCACATGAAGACATGGGTTTTAAAACCAGCTGCTTGGCTCCTGTGATTTTGAGTCTGGAGGGTATATCATGTGCTCTGTTTACATCTGATTCCTGTGGTTGCTGCATTGCTTTTATTTGCAAGAGCTGCTATCAGAATTGTGAATGCTCTTCCCTGCACTGCAGTTTAGTTAAGGATATTCTGAAGGAATCGATGTTGGTTTTCAGTGCTTTTGCTGCAGTACCTTATCTGATTTGGGAAAGGTTCTTGTTTGGTTAGGTTACTAGGTCTTAAGGCTTAGATTCTGTCAAAAAAGTGGCTGGTTGATGTTGCAGATAAGATGACTATTATTTTTAGGGGTTGGTATCTAGAAGTACCTTTTTCTGCATTTGTATTACCATGGTCATAGAAGGCTTCCTAATTTTTCTCTGATTTTGAAGACTGCTTACTAAAAGCATCAATACTTTTTTTTCCCCTTTAATTAGAAGGCCAAGGATTCAAGGTTTTTCTTTTCTTAATCTTAGTTGTTTTACTCCTCATTTACTTTCTCTGTTACTTACTAGATGAAAATATGGGACTTAAGGTAGTTGCTTCTTGTTAAAGAAGATGTTGCTTGTCTGCTCTGGAAAGGAAAATAAACACACACACACACACACACCAAAACTCCTATGCAGCCATTTTATGTTTAAAACCCTGGATTGAACCTAAACTTGGTAGTGAGCAGGTTTAAAAATTGCCCTCTTTTTAACGAGCCCTTTCATACTGGATTGTGTCTTTAGTTTTCAAAGATTTAGGTAGTGTACTTTTTTTTTTTAAGGTACTGTACTCTTATCATTTTTTTTTTTTTACAGCAGCCCACTGTAGCCAGCCTTTGCACTAGATTTTATTCCATGAAGTTCCATTTTTCTGGAGTTGAGATCAATAGAAAAATGAAGATGACACTGGATTTTCTTGGGGGAAAAATGGTGGTTAGGAATAGACCGCAAGGAAATTTATGACCCTTTCTTTAACACCAGAATATTTTAACCTTTACCTACATTAGTTAATTTTGAATCCTATAACTTAAAACATTAGTATAGAGGTATTAGGAGAGGGAATTTCATGAACTCGTAGAATGTTAGAGCTTAAGAGGGGCCATAGGGATCATATAGTAATCAACCCTGATACTCTACAGAGGAACAAATGGAGGTTTGTTCCTTTATTCATTAGTTCGTCCATTCATCCATCTATTCATTAAATGGATATTTATCTTATGATTACTGTTTAAGGTGCTTGGAGATATCCTTACCCTTATGGAGTTTACAATAAATAGATGTTAGACATCATAAGTAAGTTAAATATTATGTTAGAAAGTGATAAAAGTAGTCTGAAATAAGGGGGAGGGAAAATGCTTGTGTGTGAGGGGGGTTCGCACTTTAACATAGGGTAAGCTCCACTGAAAATATGACATTTGAGCAGAAACGTGAAGAAGGTGAGAGTGTAGTCTGTGTGACTATCTGTGGGAAGATTGTGTCAGGCAAAAGGAACAGCCAGTTCCAAGGCTACTATGTGGGAGCATGTCTAGCTTATTATTCAAGGAATAGTGAAAAGCCCACTGTGCCCCTTGGAGTAAGAAGTGGACTGGAGTAATAACAGGTGAGGAAAGTGAACAGGGCTGGGAGGCAGGGGTATGGGGAGCTGGATAGATTATGTGGGGTCTGGTGAATTGTCGTAAGGACTTTGGCTTTTCATGAGTGAAATGCAGGAGGGGGTGTCAGTGAAGGGTTTTGAGCAGACACGATCTGACTTATGTTTCAACTCTGAATCATTCTCACTGCACTGTTGAGAAGAGATGCCAGGGTAGGGTTGCTAGATTTAGCAAATAAAAATATAGGACACCCACTCAATTAAATTTGAATTTTAGATAAACAGCGAATAATTTTTTATATGCATATGTCCCATGCAATATGTGACTGACTATTTACCCATATGGCAGAATGTGAACTACTTTTTTATAGTTAAAAAAAAAAACCCTCTTCATTGTTACTGTTGATTACTGTAGATCACTGTTACTCTGATCCTGCTGGTCCCAAGATGTGGGGCCTTATAGCAAATTTTCATCTTTGCCTTTCCATACTATCTATATTACTGTTTTTCACATTGTGGTCATCTTATACCCCAGAGTGTTACAGTGCAGTTTGTTGGACCCCAGCCCAGACCTACTGAATCAGAATTTCTTGAGATAGAACAGAGTCTCTCCACAACTGCCTATTGTTCTAGATTCTAGGTACAGCAGTGAATAAAACATACAAAATTCCTTACCCTAGTGAAATTAACATTCTAGTGGGGAGACACAATAAACAAGATAAATAAGTAAATATATAGTATGTTAAATATTGATATAGGTGCTAAGAAGAAAGAAAAAGCAGGAAGGGGAGTAGGAAATATGCACGGTTATGATGAGGAAATTGCAGTTTTAGATAGAGTGACGAGTGAAGGCCTCACTACATGGTGATGTTTGAATCAAGACTTGAAAGAAGTGATGGAGAGAACCAGGTGCACCTAAAGCAGGTGCATACCTGGTGTGTTAAATACACTGCAGGGAGCAGTGTGTCTGGAGTGGAGTGAAAAGGGGAAAAATAGTAGGGGATGAGATGAGAGAGACAAAGGGGAATGGTTAGTGATTGTTAGCAGTTAGGCTTTATGGTATGTTGGAAAGAGATTTGGAAGCTAGATCCAGCTAT